GGTGAGCTCATTGTGGGGCTGGAAGGTCTCTCTCCCAACCGGAGAAGCCTCCCCAGGATCACACCAAAATTACAAATAATTTATACAACATTCAACCTCAGAAGTTCCCTGAACACTAGATGAACAGAACCTCTAAACGAAGAACTTAAAGAGGAGGCCACATCGAGTCTGAGGTGTCCCTCACGGGGTTCTCCCTGTCTCATCTCTGCTCCTCTTACCAGACTCGATGTGGCCTCCTCTTTAAGTCCAGGCTCATGTCTGGGTTTCTGAGTATTGAGACCTCACACACAGCTCCCCTGCCCTTTCAGCATGTGGAAAAAGCCCTGGGCAGCCAGCCTTCTTCAGAATCGCCAGCCCCATTGTCCAGCCTCCAGGCCCTGAGGACTGGCTCCAGAGCCCTTGGTGCCCACGCAGGCAGCAGGCAGCTGGGAGGGCATCACAATGATGTAGAGGTTGTAGGGCTCTGCTAGTGGTAACCATGGAGCCTGGAGCCCAGCTGTGTCCTAGGCCACTCAGCAGCCCCATCCTCCTGAGGGAGTGGAACCAGGAGGCTGCAGTCTGCCCTTGGCATCATCCCTCGGACCACACTCTCTTCACTGCCAAACACCCACCTTGGAGCCTGTCTTTTAAGCCCAGTCTTGCTGCTACTTAGGGCTTAGGGCTCAGCACAGCTCACCCATCTGGGTTATGACTAGGAGGGCTACGCACTCTGTTATGTAGGAAAGTCATCCACTTAAAAGTCATGAGACTTGTTCCCACCCACTTTCACCTGAAACATGGGTAGGTTTCAGATTACATGGATGGAAGGGAAAGGGCATTCCAGGTGCAAGAAATTTGGGGAAAGGTAGGAAGCAAGGGTGCAGAGCTGGGAAAAGATGAGTTGCAAGATGACTATGATGGAGAGGCTAGAAGGGTTCAAATTCCAGAGTGTCTAGTATACCAGTGTGGAAGGGATGGACCAATGGTTTTGTGAGAAATTATTCTCTTTCAATCACAGAGATTCTCTGTTTGTGCATGTTGTTAGTTCTTAAAAAAAAAAAAGTGGTGCCTTCAAATTGAGCAACCACAGGAAGAAGGCAGTGTGTGTGCTATGTGAACAACCAACACCATCCTGCCGTAAAGGAGAAACAGACAAGGTCATCTCTGGAGCTGTGAGTGTGGACTTATTTTGTGATCCAGGTGACCATGGTGTAACTGGTCTTGCTTTCTACTATTTCTACCTTTGCATTCAGGACCTTTGAGATTTATGGCTCTATGGGATAAAATGTTTCCTATTACTTAATGCATATGTAACCTAGATGTCAGCAAGGGTGACAAAGCCTGGAGAACTAGAGGGATTCACATTTCCCTTTCCAGTGCCTTTCCGAGGAGCTTACGTGCTCATGGTCACCTGCAACTCCATCTTCTTGCTTGTGCAGCGAGCGTATTTCCCCCTCTGCATCGTGTGGTTGCTTCTTTTATCCCCACTTTGGCCTCCATCCGAACCCAAATAGAATTTGTCCCTTTCTTTCATTTCCACCAAAACCCACAAGACTTTTGCTTGTAGAGTAAACATTACTGAAGATTTAGGGACATTTTGCAGGAGGGGGTGAAGTGAAGGAAAGGAGAGGGTTTGCTTCATAACAACACAAATGACTTAAAATCAGATGTTTGACAGCTCCGTTCCTAAAAGTCTTTTGGTAACACCGCCATGTTACTTGAACATTGTCCCCTTCTCCCTCACCATTCTCTCTCCTTCTACTCCCAATTTTCTAGTCTTTTCTAACAAACTGTTGCCTTGTCTCTTTTTTTAGCCTTGTCTCCAGAATCTTACCTTCCCCCGACAGAGTGTGTCAAGATATTTTCCTGAGCAGCTTCCTACTTAAGATGCATTCTGTTGTCAGGAGATTAGATGACTGCTGGCTGCCCCACTGCCATTATCGAAGCTGTTCACTGTACAGTCTGCTTGTCTGGGAAAGAACAAATGTCAGCTCAGTGCTTATAAAGCACTTTCACCTACATGTACCCCTGGACAAAGCATCATGTCCATTTTACAGATGTGGGGCCAGGAGCTCAGAGAGGTTGAATGAATCATCCAAAGCCACACATCCCGGTAAGTGGGTGAGTAGAAATCGGCACCTGGGCCTGAAGATTTTGAGGTACAACCCATGTCATCACACAGAGACAGGATGGAGGCCACGTGGATTCTGGTGTGACTGATTAACATGCAACAACCTAGTTGGCCTTGGGAGCAGCCACAGCAGCTCCAGCAGGTACGTGCATCCTACAGGAGTTGGACTGCCAGTTCCCTTCCCATCCCCTTCCTTCCCGCTTTTGCTGGCTAGCTCCTCCTCCTCTTCAGGTCTATGTATGGGATTGGCTATGTAATCTGTAGAGCCCAGTACAAACTGAGAGTGCTGGGTCCCTTGTTCAAAAGTTATTAAAAATTTCAAAACAGCAACTCTTGTAAATGACTACACAGGTCACACACCCATGAAGCCAGCCCTGTATGGAGGTTACAACCCCCAGGAAACATTCTCTGGCTCCCCATTCTGAGCTACGTGCTTATCACATGCTATTGTCATGTGTTCTTTATGTATCTGTCTCTGTATTAGTCCACACATGAATTTCTTGAGACCTGTGTCCTGTTCTCTGTTGTTACCCAGGTACCCAGCACAGACCCTGACAAAGGGCAGGGGCTCAGTGGATGCCCCACTGGGGGCTTGGGGCTCCTGGGAGTGAAATCTGGAGGAACCAGGCAGTGAATTGTCATCTCTAGGCAGGACCCACCCAGGACCATGCAAAGTTGGACCAGTCATGACTGAGGAAACCTGGGGGACTTGCCAGGGGTTTCAAGGATGGGGTGAAGGTGGGGTAGGTATTCATTTTCTCTTCAAGAGAGTGTGTTAATCATTTATTGCCCAGGGCCCCACTGACCATGCTCCTCAGGGCTAAGCATGGTGTGACCAGCCAAGGAGGTGGGGGGCAGACAGGACAAGGACAGAGAGTGCAGAACAGACACAAGGCCCTTCCTGGGGGTACCCAGGTTGGCACCAGCCCTCAGGTCCTCAGCCTGGCCCACTGACCCTTTAGCTTCCTGGGGCCTCTTAGGCCCCCATGCCTCTTTACTCATCCTCCCTACTCAGTGGTGTGCATGGGAACAGAAAAGTATTCCCCAAATGTCTCCTCAAAATGAGGGGAAGGGACAAGGGCGGAATTCTCAAAAGTTTCAGACAACAAGCCCCCATGTGGAGACCCCCTGATTCCCACAGATTTCCTTTGGTTCTCAGTGACAGAAACCCTACTCTGTAAGTAGATAAAGGGATGTATTAGCTCAAAGCCAAGGAGCTCAAGGGCAGGTGTATCTTTAGGCATTGCTGGTCCTTGAGCCCAAGTGATGTCACCAGAGCTCAGTTTCCCTCTTTTCATTTCTCTCCATGTGGAGGGCAAGATTTCAAACCTCCTGAACACTCTGGCAGGAAACCCTGGGAAGGACTCTGATTGGCTGGGTTTAGGTGATGAGCATATCCCTCAGCCAATCCTCATGTCCAGGGATGGGCTCAAGGGTGGTTCCTCCAGATTCCTTCCTTAGCAGGGCTATGCTTCCAGAGGAGGGGCAGAAATGGGGTTGGCCAGGCAGAGTGGCCACCAGTCTGTTTTTTTAAACCCAGCACCACCTCCTCTCCCTGTCACTGGCTTCTAGGCCTTTAAAACTGGATTCTTATAGGGAGGAGGCTGCTGAGCACAGGGAACTACCTGGAAGGTTGGGCCTTTGGCTGGTGCCCCAGGCTTGCTGTTTCCAGAAACCTCTTCCCACCCTCCCTCAAAGCAGATCCCAGGGTTGTCTTCATGGCACAGGGTGAGGAGACACCCCAGGCCGGCTTTCTCAAAGGGCGTCAACTCTAGAATGCTTCTCTTTGAGGCTGGGAAATAGTCTTTCTTTTTACCTCAGAAATGAGCCAGTCATAACCAAAGGAAGACAAGGAGAACCCTTTAAAAAAGAACAGAATGTAACCCTGCTCTCTAGGCCTTTCCTCTAGAAGGGCCTTCAGTTAACACAAACCTGCTCTTCAAGGCCAAGCAAGGCATGAAGAACTTTAGTGATGATGGTCTTGAGGATTTCTTCAACCCTTTGGGCATGTCTCTCTTTCAGATTTGCTAAGAGGAGAGGTCGCATGTTTTCATCAGTTGATTCCATAGTTAGTGAGGAAATACGAAGATGTCTCAAGAACGTGAGGCAACAGAGAAATGTCTCTGTGTTGAGGTGTCTCCCCGCCATGGTGGTTCTGCCTGTGGTTCTGGGTTGGGTGTGACGAAGTAGGCTCAGGAGAAAACAGCTGGCGCCTCAGAGCCAGGCTGTCCAGGCTCCATGCTTGCCTTCTCAGGACCACCTGCTTGACTGGCTCCTGTCACTGGGCCTCAGCTTCCCCGTCTGTAAAGTGAGGGGTTGGCCAAGACCTCTAAGGTCCTTCTTAGTGCTTAATTGCTGTGAGTCTAAGTCAGGCAGTGAAGGAAGACCACGTGGGATTCTGGTTTTGTTTCTGCCTTTGCCACGACTCCCTAGGTGACCTTGGGTAAGTTCCTCTTCCATGTTGGACCTGTTTTCCATCTTTGAACATCCTATGTCACATTGGAGGGCTATATGAAAGGTGGCCTGGAGCAAGGCTCTCTTGGGGTCAGGATTTAGGAGGCCTGCTCCTCGTCAGGTTCACTGAGAATACAGTGTTGGCTTCATTTTTCTCTTTCACGGCCGACTAAGTTTCTCTACATGGAGGAGTCCTGGGGAAGGAACAGACAGGCCCAGCTCTGGTCAGGGTCCTACCTTGGACCCATTGCCTATGGCCAGACTCTGGGTCATGTGATAACAGGGCTGCTCTGATACGTTGTCAGCAGAAGACTGGGGAGGGCCGCTTCTGAAAGAAGGAAAAATGCTGAGCAGGCAGCCCAGAACTGTCCCCTGAGTTTCTGAGCAGAGGCTTGATCTGATCTGCATTTTGGGCATATGTATAGATAGTCAAGGCGACAGTTTTTTCTCTTTTATTCATAAAAACGAATTTGCAACAATTTATTAAAAATTGATACCATGCAACAGGGGTACGAGAAATTCCTCATTTACATTTGATTCTGGCAGTTCCAGTCTAATTTAAAGCGTTTGTGCACTAACATCATTGGAAAACGCCTTTAGGCTGAAGCCTTTTTTGGAAATGTACGGTGTGTTTGCTGCGTATAAAAGAACAGACCGTTAAATAGCTAGAGTCATGTCTGTGGGTCTTGTTATTTGCAGGGAAATTTTTTAGAAAATGGGTGAACCTACAGTATTGTTAAGACAGAGAATGTATTTTGTGGGTTAACCTAGAAGACTGTGCACGTTCAAGGAGTCACGATGGGTCACAGACACACACACTCACCTCCAACTGTCCAATACTTTTGTTTCTTTTTTTTTCTTCCTGCTATGCTGGAATAATATTTCTACAGGTATTTTTTTTGTGTGTGTATACATTATGTACAATGAATTGTCTCTTTCCCTTTGAAAAATTAATGTGGCCCTTCAAATTAAATCTGATTTTGGTGAAATCAAGAAAACAAGTAAATACTGGTAATACACAGTGAGTGGCAACACCGATTTTTTAGTGCCTACACAGACAATGACTTCAACTTGACCTGTGATGTGTTAACATTTTTTTTTTTCCCTAAAAGCCACAGTACCTCCATCACCTCTCTTTGGGGGAGGGGAGAGGCAAGCTATGCTACAGTGAAATAGGGTGTTTTGAAATGTTGGCTATGCTAAGATTCCTGTGGGTCCTTTTGTCAAAGCCTGGTGGTGGCAGCAGTGTATTCCTGACGTCAGTGGTCTGGGAAGAGATTATTGCCTGCCTGTTGAAGCTGCCATTAGGTTTCTTTAGGGAGCTAGCGAGCGACTGCTCAGTTGTGCAGACGTCCTGGACATTGTCATTCAGGCTTTTCTTTAGCAAGGAATGAACCTGTCTAGGAATGTCACAAAAGTCACAGGGGGCCTCTCTCCAGCTGGGCTGATCCTGGTAGAGGCCTGTGCTGGGAGCTTCTCTGGGTCACACCCCTGGCTGTCGTGAGGGTTGAAGGTCATGGTCATCCTGATACCTCAAGGGTCAGGGCTGCTTCGCCTTTTGGTACGAAGCTTTCCTGGACAAGACCAAGTTTTGATTCTCAGAGTGACCCTGTGAGGTAGGCAGGATGGGTATTATTTCAACCCCAATTTGTTAGAGGGGGTAAACTGAGGCTCAGAGAGACACTAGTGACTTGCCCAAGGTCATGGAGGGAGTCAGCAGTGGAGCGAGAACTTGAACTCAGGTCTGACTCCAAGACCGGTGCTCTATATATGGGGTTCAATGGAAAGGGAAGCGTGATCTTATGAATGAGAATCAGTGTGCTGACTGATCACCCCCGTAACCCCCGAGGACAGAACTTACCGGCTTGCCTGGATGGAAGGCTGCCTTCTGGAAGCCGAGGGAAGCCCTCCGCTAGCAACTCTTTCCCCTACGACTACAGGGATGTCTTCTAGAAGAATGCCCCTGATTCACTTTGGTCAGAAACAAAGTCAGTGGGAAAAAAAACAAACAAAAAAACAACAACCAAAAAAACCAACCTGGACAGCCCTTGGGCCCTGATGAGAGAGGTTAAAGTGCACAATCTTTCTTTTTCGTGTATGCTGGGAACAGACATTCCATGATTAGCTCAGGCGGCCCCCTTTATTACCAGGAACACCTGATGCAAACACAAGGACATGGCCAATATGGTGGGTGCATGACCGACTGTCGGTGAATGCTGCAGAGCATGTCTGCAGTGACGTGCCCTAAATCCCCACGGTCCAGAACCGGTGTTATTGTATTAATGTGTGGCATTTATCAGAGCAAGGTCCTGCAGGGAGGCATGCGAGTCAGCCTGTTCCCGCACCCCAGAGCTGCGCCTGGCCGCCCTTCCTGCAGGCTCCCTGTCCCAGGAAGGCTGGGGTTGGCTGGACTGGCAGCTGGGGCCCTGGCTGCCCTGCCTATCTCCTTCCCCAGAGGGGAGAAGGGCTGGCCTGGGGGCCACTGCCAGCGATGTGTGTGCAGAGGCAGAGGCGGTTTTTCCAGAAGCCCCTTGCCTCTTCCCTCGGCTGTTCAGTGACTTCTAGCTGGAGTCCTTCTAGTGATTCTCTCCTTGTCTAGGATTGTTTTTTTGCAAAGTTTCAAATATCCCAGTTCCTCCTGTTTTCAGACAGTAAGGAAGAAGTCATTTCTATTCCTCTTCTTTGTGAAAGAATAAAAACTTCACAAATAAGGCGCGAGGTCAGGTGCCAAGTGCCCACCATTCTGTCCACCTGAGAGCCATTCGAGCAGTCCCGCAAGGCCAGCTGTGGCACCCAGCTTCTCTGCAGCCACAGCCAACAGTGTTACTGCAGTGAGACGCCTCTGCTCCGCGTGTTCTGTCATGGGGGAGGCCCCGGCCCCAGGCCTCCCACCCTTACAGGCCCGAGACCATGACTCGGAAGGGGGGTGGCACATGTCTGTGACGGGGGCTGGCGGTGGGGCTGACACAGGGGCTGACACAGCTGGCGTCCACGCCTCCAATGGACGGGAGGTAGGCGTGGTGGAGGATGGGGAGCTGGAGGGAGAGCCGGCGCTGGATGCTGTGGCGGGGAGAGAGAGAGAGGGCGGAGTTAACAAGAGCCATCTGGCTGCTCACCGGAAAGTTCCTTGTACTCACTTTGGCTAAGAGGCTGGTGGTAGGAGCACAGTTATCTCCGAATCCAAGGTCTGTCCATCCTGTCATCTAACCATCCACCCACCTAGCAGTTATTTAATGCAGGTCTGCACGTGCCAACTACTGCCCTGGGAATAACCAGGGAGACAACAGGCAAGGAGGGTGCTTCTTGAACTTCTGGGGATTCCTAAGAACAAGGCTTTGCCCTTCTAACGGGGCTTTGCTGCAAACCCTGGCAGTTCTCATGCTGTACTCTTGCATGCCTCCATATGCACTTGGCTTTGGGTTCATCCCTGGAAGGCTTCTCTGCTGCTCTGTTGTTCCCCATGGGCTCCACTGCTCCTGCCTTGTCCAGGACCTCAGTGCTTCCTGCTGGGGCAATTCCAGTAGGTTCCTTCCGGGTCTTTTGGCTTCTTTGGTGACAAACCTTATCTTTTCAACACTGGGACAGGACACTCAGGGCTCCCTAAGACCTGTCTCCCACCAAATTCTCCAGTTGAAACTTCTACTCCCTCTCACTGTAAACCTGACCCTCTGGTGGCTACTTTCCCCCAAAACTCTGCTCGTGGCCACTCTCCCTGCCCATGCACACAAGGTTTCCCCAGCCTGGAGTGCTCTTGTTCTGCTTCTGGATCTGATGAACTGCTTTTCCTTCAAATTCCAGTTCAAATGTCATCTTCTTAGTGCTAACTCCCTCAGAGAGTGAACCGCAACCTCCTCTAAGCCCCCAGAGCCCTTGGTAAATTCCCGAAATGCAACCAGCAAAGCCAGAGCCAGGAGGTGGGTCTGCATGACTGATGGCAGAGGAGGTGAAGAGGGCGCTGCCTTCTGACTCCTTCTCACTGCCACACCTTTCTGTGCTCACCTTCTCATCAGAGTCTTCACAACTGGCAGGTCCGGAAGTCACTGTAAGTGTGGGAAAGCCTGCTTTGGGGGAATGTGCCCAGGCCACCGACCCCTGCCCTGCTCAGCTGCACTGTGTGCAGTCTCCCATGGCAGCTGGGAAGGTGAAGTCCCTGTATTCTTAGGCCTCCTTGTGTCTCAGGTGAGAAAAAACCCCAGATCTTCACAAAAACCCAATGGGTAAAAGCAGTATTGCTATTCCCATTATAAAGATGAGAGAAGGGTACAGAGTTTATGTAACTTGCTCGAAGAAACAAAGGCAGAGCTGGGAAGGTGGGACTCTGGCTTCTTCTGTTAAACCACAGAGCTTTGTGGGGAAGGCCAGTCAATTCCCAGGGGCTACCTCATTCCAATAGGGTGTGCCCTGGAGTGTATGTAGGACCCTGATGGAATTCTGAGACGGATGGGGACAGAGGCAGCGCTGCCCCCACTCCCTAAGGACCTGTTGGCCAGAAGGACTTCTTCCAAGAGATACTTCACTGGTGCTCATAAGATAAGAATGCTGGAGATCTCATTTTGAAATTAAAGTGGAACCTGTGTAACGTCAGCTATGATCTACTCCTTAAGGCAAGATGGTGTTTACGGAGTCCAGGAAAAGGGGAGCTGAAGAATAAACTCTGACTGGGAAAGAATGCTTATCTGAGCACCTGGCAAGGTCTGGGCAAGGGAAGCACCTGTCTGTGGCTGTCAGAGCTCGGTATTCTTTTGTCCGGTGAGACCCTGTTTATCTTTTCATTCATTCTTCAGATACTTGCCAAGAACATGCTCAGGGCTGAAACCTATGTTCAGTCCAGGGGACATATAAAGGACTCATATCTCACTGTCCAGGTGCTTACACTCTAGTGGAGGGAAATGATAGGTAGACCACTGACGGATGCCATGTAACCATCGGTAATTGTTCTGGACTGTAAGCTGGTGAGGTCTTGGAGCGAACTAGGTGAGAGGCTATTAGCTCTAACACTGAATGGCCCCAGACGACACTGCAGTTGGTGATTCAGCTGTTTTTGCTGGTTCCTCACTGCTTGTCACTTCCCAGGAGTCAAGTTGCAGGGTTGACATTTCTAATCTCGGCTTATCTTCTGTGAGCTTGGAAGAACTAAAAACTGCCAGTGAAACAAAGCAAACTGAGATGTCCAGATCTTTGCTTAGATGTCACCTTCTCACTGAGTCTTCTCTGACCATCCTATTTAAAATTATACTCCCTAACCCCCTCCTCTGCCTTATTTTTCTCCAAAGCACCTATTATTGAACATACTATGTTTTGCTTTTTAAACTAAGTTATTGTCTTACCAGACAGATTGGAAGCTCCATGAAGGGAGGGATTTTGTCTGTTTTCTTCACTGCTGTGTCCGACACATAGTAGGTCCCCGTAAATCATTGTTAAATTAATGCACTTAGCAAGGTGACATTTTTATACATAACAAAGACAGTATGCTACTGTGGAGAACATGGGATTTGATATTGCACAGACCTGCATCCCAATCCTATCTCCTGTACTTAGCAACTGGATGAGCTTTGACAAGTCACCTCCCTCTTTTGAATGTTAGTTTTCTCATCTGTAAAATGAGCATCATGGGATTGCTGTGGCGTTCAAATAAAATAATGCATGTGAAAACATAGTACAGATTGTAAGCTGTTGTGCAGGCTCTTGGGCAGTAATTCTTGGAGAAGGTACTTACTGTTCTGGGGAGTTTATGTCTTCTATGGGGTCTTTGCATGTTCGGGAAGGCTCTGTTGTATTCCACTGTAGCTGGGGATTTTGATCGAGGTGATTTTTTAAAATGGTCTTTCCCCCATCTGAATGCAAAACAACAATATCGCAACACATTCTATTAACTTGGTTTTTAAAAACCAACAATGCAATCTTTTTAGGAAGCTGCCCAGGGAGAGAGAATGCAAACAAGCCCAGCATTCTCAGCATTCTCCAAGCCAAGGACTCCCAGGACCAAGGCAGGGAGCCAAGACGCCTCCATGGAAGGGGCATGCCATGCCGGGGATATGTATGGTGTGCCCTGGTTGTCATTTTCTCCAAGAAGAAAAGAAAAAGAAAACATCAACCAATATAGGTAGCATAATTTAAAAATGAGAGGTTCTAATCTGAAGGCCCTTTCCACTGGTGCATAGGTATGTAATGACAAAGAAGAACAAAAAACCTGCAATGTGTATTTTCCACAAGATTGCCAAGAATTGGAAAGAATCATAATAGTAAACTTCTGGTGTGACTATTAATTGGCATAATCTTTGGGGGAGGGGGCACTTCGATAAGGATCAAACACCATAGAAGGTGCATGTCTTTTACTCAGAATTGCCACTTCTGGGAATCATCCTAAGGAAATGATTAAGGATCTGTGTGAAGATATATACAAGATGTTCAAATCAGCATTGTTTACAATATCAAAAACTTGGAACTAATCCTAATTTGTCCAGCAAGAATGCATTAGTTACATACTAACATGTATGCATGCATGAGGTTTCCATTCAAAGAAACAGTGTGTAGCCACAGAACACGATGGCATAGGTGCTCTCAACCCTCCTTGTGTTTCAGACCACATGGGGAGGTTTAAAGAAAGATAAAATATAAAAAACGGGCCCCACCTGACAGATCTGGATTTATTTGGTTTGGAGAGGGGCATTAGTAATTTTTTTTTTCCCTGCAGTGGGTAACTTTAGGTACTCGTATGTCATTTTGTACCCATGGGAGTACAGTCAATCTTCCTTATTCACAGATTCAGTATTGGTAAACTTGCCTACTTGCTTAAATTATTTGTGATCCCCAAATTAATCCTAGTGATGCTCTCACGGTCATTTGTTGACACACACAGAGGGTTCAAAAATTTGAGTTGCCTGAGGTGCACCTTTGCAGTTGAGGTTGAATAAGGTGACACTTAGCCTTCTAGTTTTAGCTCTTTTTGTGATCTATGTAGGGCCATGTTTTTCACATCTTTAAGCTTTGTGTTGGTGGTGAGGCCACTGTTTTGCCTTATCTGTACAAACAGTCCACCTCACTTTTTAATAGCTGTATTATGTGCCTTGTTTGGTTGTATTATAATTAACGAAACTACCCCAAATGATGAACATTTAACTTAATTCCAGTTTTTCCCCCTAAAAATAATGTTGTGATGAACGGTATGTGTCTACAGCTTTGCCCACGTGGGAGTGTTTCCAAGGGGCAGGCTCCCGCTAGCGGAATTGCTAGGTTAAGATGTGTCACATCTAGCATTTGGAGAGGGCCAGATTGGCTTCCAAAACATTGCAGGAGAATGCTCATTTCCACACTCTTACCAACACTGGGAATCTATTAAAAATTTGCTGAAATGTAGGCAAAAAAAGTGGCCTGTGTTGCTTCAGCTTGCATTTATGATTGAGTGTCATGTCATATCCTACTAACCATTCCTTTCCTGTACATTGACGAGGTGCATTTGAAACTGAGAAATGTTGTTGGGAGAAGTGCAGGTAGACTATATGTTAAGAACAATGTACCCCCAGTCAGAACACTGGGAATGCTGGCCACGTTGTGCCCACGTGCACCCGGCGCCCAAAAGACTGGGGACAGGAGCCCCAGCTCTAGGCAGAGTGGGGCTCCAGGCGGACACTGAACTGTGGTCAGAAGACATGGGTTCCAGATACTCCAGCTCTGCTTATGTGACTTCAGACCAGCCCAACCCCCTCTCTGAGCCTCAGTTTCTTCATCTGTAAAATGGAAGGTGGACGGCTGGTGTCTGCTACCCAGGCCCAGTGTGTCCCAGGGGCTCTGCCTCCTCTTACCTGTGCTCTCGGTGAAGTTCCCCAGGTTGAGGATGTCATTGAGCTCTTGGTAATGGTTCTGTTTAATGTAGGTGGTCTTTTCCGGTGTGTCCTGCAGCTGCATGGTTACCTCTTCCAAGTCTTTATCCAGCTAGAAGACAAAGGCTCCAGCTGAGTCAGAGCCCCTGGCCCAGCCCCCACCCCAGCCCTGGTGGCCAGGCCTGGAGAGCCAAGCAGCAGCTCCAGGCTGGCAAAGGAGGGCACTGGGAACAAGAGGGGCCACTGGATGTTGGGGAAGAGACACAGAAGGGCCCTGCCAGCTCCTGTTTCAGGAGAAGCTGATGAGAGGGACCTGGGAACTGCAATGGTGTGTCCAGTGCAGGCTTGAACCGTGATGGAACCACCAAGCAAGGCCAGGGAGGCAGGGCGGGAGAGCGTCATAGCGCAGGCTCTGAGGCTGGACAGGCCTAGGGGCAAGCCTGTGGCTGCTCCTTACTGGCTGGTGAGAACTGAGTCTCAGTTTCTTCATCTGTGGAGTGGGATAATAACAGAACCTACCTCATGTGGGTCTTGTGAAGATTAAATGAGATAATATTATAAAAGTTTACCTCAAGGCTTGACATATAATAAGAATAACCTGCTACTATAATAATATTACTGTAATTATTATTATTGATACCTAGCAGGACCCTTGGTGGGAGGCATGGAGGACAGATTCGCAGGGCTGGTCAGCTCTGAAACCCACACTGTCACGGAGACTCAGGCCAATAGGGGTTTCTTCTGTGGAGTTAGTCAGGATGAGTTCCAGTAACCCCCATATTATATAAGAATCAGATACAAAACTTGGGCAGTTGAGCCCCTGAGAAGCTTGGGGAATGTGTATGTGTTGGGGAGTGGGTGGTAGTTGGGAAGAGTAGTGGGCATCCTACTATAGCAAAAGGGAGGATAAGTTATAAACTGTAAGGTGCTGTTCCAATGTCAAGAGCACAGCCACAGATTGTTTAAGTTTTCATGTGGAGGAGGAGAGAGACACCTTTTTCTGTGCGAATCAAACAACAGGGCTAGGATCAAAGGGTGGAAGCAAGAGGCGATCAGACTGTGATTCAATTCCAGGAAAAAAAACGCAACATTCCAGAGTTTTTCACAGTGGCTTAGATTTTTAGTTTCCTAAGTGAGTGAACTCTTCATCGCTGGAGTGTGCAAGTGGAAGTCGAATGTCAAGACACAGAGATGGGGACGTTCTAGTCATAGGTCTGATACTAAAACAGAGTCAGCAAGGGGCTTTGAGGGACAGGAATCTTTCCTCTTTGCTCTGGTGGCGAATGGAGGGCTGCCCCATCCTAAAGCTGTGTAGGGGATCTTTGTGGCAGACTACTATGCGCCCCCTACAGTAGGGGCATCCAGATATAGTAAATAAAAATACAGAATGCCCAGTCACATTTGAATTTCAGATAATAAGGAGTAATTTTTCAGTATAAGTATATCCCAAATATTGTATGGGTCATACTTATACTAAAAATATGATTGGTTGTCTGAAATTCTTTTTTTTTTAAAGATTTTTTTTTATTGGAGAATTAGGGGAAGGGGAACAGACAAGTTGCTGTCCTTTTGTTCTTCAGTCTAGTTGTGGAGGACGTTGCTTCACCACCAAGTT